GAAGAAAGCTAGGCGGTGCTCCTGGGGTTCGAACACTTTCGCAGGAGTGACATATGGTTGACTTGAACATCGCCGTCCTTTTAGGCCCACAAGCGAGGAGGCCAGCGGATTTAGATCTGTGGATCTAACGATTCTTACCACGCACCACTATATGGGTGAGAGAACGGATTTATGATAAACGTACAAGCAACCTTTAGGAGGACAGCCACAACTGATCAAAAGCCAATTAGGGATCTAAAAACTGCGATCAGTAATGATGGGATTGAAGACCTCAACCCACGTACGAATGCGACGTTGATCATCCGCTTGATAGCTGCCATCGTGCGGTAATCAAATAAATTCTGTAACTATCTGTTCTGACTTTTTCATTCATTTCCCCACATCGAAATTTGATATCCAATGATCAATGAGCTGAGACAACAAACTATCAGCTGCAAACGTATTTTACGAGTTAAACCATATGGAGCAACACAACGAAAGTGTTTGTTGTGTTCCCTCTCTGTATTCCACTCCAATTATGACTTCATATTTTTTCTTCATTCATTTGTTATATGTTTCATGTGAGTTATCTGCTCACCTGCGTTTACGGAATGCTTTATGACTTGTGGGTGATCTCGATGCATCAGGGACAAGAGGGCGTGCATAATGAACTACACGTGATTCCGGCATTTTGAATGAGGCGCGTCGTTTCCCTGTGTCCTCCCTCTCGCATGCACCTCCTAAGCGTGCGCGGAAGAGAGAGCGATCGCGTATGATTCAGTCCGTGGCCAGAAAATAGCCCTACTCACAACAAAGCACACTCGTTGGGGACTTGATAATTAATGATTCACAATGCACACGTGCACGTGTGGTGCCATCAGGTTAATTGAGGCAAATGCGCGATGATGCACTTGGTCCTAGTCGGTGGTGAAAAGCATGGTTTTTGGAGTGCATGCGACAAACAAACAACACCATGGATAATGTGGGTTTCGCTTTCAGTTGAAATGATTGAATTCTGTGCGAAATCGAATCAGCTCATTTTCATTTCAATACTTATACATTTCCAGGTGTTTGGGCCAGTGACACTGCGGCAGTTTGAGTGTCTGTTCACGTGACCAAACCTATAATTTCTGACACCAAGCGTGCCTATGTCCATGATCATTTTAGCTCCGCTTCGAAATGCTTCCGTTTGCCGATGAGTTAGTCTTAACTGGAATCAGTGCTACTGTTGTCGCATCTGAAGCTTCGCTTTTTACATGGATTCTCTGCCCTCCCCCCTTCCACCCAATCTGGAATCTTCACCTCCCTGAATAACAGGTAGTGACTGCTAAATTTGGAGGTCTCTGTTCTGTTTGGCAGTCAGTATATGCGATGAATTCGCCACTACGTAGTCCGAAGCACCGGTCACTCAAACAGAAACCAAGATTATTTGACCAAATGTGACCTCAAATTGCT